AACTTACTCAATGGACGCATCGGGAGTTAACATCAAATTCCATTTCTATGGTAACAACAACCTTTTTCAATACTTATTAACTTAGAAAATTTGCATGCTATCATTGATTATTCATAATTTCCATTTTCCCCCAACTTGAAACGCGAGGGAAATCCCAATCATCATAATCTTGAGTAACAAGCAGGAAGATTGGATATCTGAAGAATGCCTTCCGGATACTATCAATTTCAACCAGCTCATTGAGATAGGTTAACCCTAAATCAAAACCGTCAGAGAGAAGCATACTTGATGTAGAAGCAGTTGCAGATTTAAAATCTCAACGGTGATGCATTTAGTTCTCAAACAGTTAAAGCGTCAGAAACAGTTCAAACGTATGATATGGGTGGTATACGATAAATATAACAAAGGGTAACTAAAAATCTTGATAATTTAGGGCTACAACTTGTAATAATAATAAAATAATTGAAGGGTACACGTGTATAAAGTATAGATACTTAGCTAAATTAATAATGTAAACGGTAAAATTCTACCTGTGCAATGATAATAGGTGTACATGACAAGCGTCTCAACTTGTCATTTACGACTATTTTCATTATACCGGAGAAATTTTATCTATTTACATTGTCAATTTACCTATTACTTTAAAGTAATAGGTTTTGAAATTCCAAGTAACGATACTTATGCTTTACGTGTGTATCTTCCATTATTTAACATTATTATTAAAAAATCTAGCATTTAATTCTCGAGAATTTTTGTATGCATTTTGTTGCATTACCCGTGTGATACCCAAGTCATAAGTCTGAAATGCTTATGATGCTTTAAATGTTTGAGAACCAAATGGACCGCCCTCGAGATTTTAAATATGCAGCTGCTTCTACATCAGCTATGTTTCTCTCAGACGGTTTCAGTTTACGGTTCTCCTATCTTCATAAGCTGGATGAAATGGATAATATTCGAAAGGCATTCTTCGCATATCCAATCTTCCTGCTTGTTACTCAAAATTATGATGGTCGGGATTTCCCTCGCATTTTATTTAGGTTGGTTGCTCCGAATATATAACGACATTTGATCTCCGAATCGTTGTTGGTTGATTGGTTGGGCTTTTATATCCATATTTGCTGAGAGTGTATACCGATACATTTGAGGATTGTTGAAATATCAATACTAGTTTTTAATGTATTTTATATCTGCGTGCAAATGTATCGATACACATTATTAAAGTATCGTTTTCTATAATCTCCACAACAAAGTTTCCATACTTAGAATTTCTAAATTGGTTAAAATTTGAGAAAACGGTAAAAATATTTAAACAATAGATTAATTATAAAAGATTGAAAATGGACACAATCAGTTTCTATAATTTCGCCTATAAAGTATCGGTAACTTACAAACGTGTATCAATACATGACAATATAATAGGTTGAAAATTGACAAAACCGGTTTCAATATATATAATTTAACAGGTAAAAAATTGACAAAACTGGTTTCCATAATTGCGCCTATAAAGTATTGATACAAGTATGAAAAGTATCGACACATTAAATTTCAAAACCGATTACTTTAAAGTAATAGGTAAATAAACAATATAAGCTGTAAAAATATACCGGTTTAATGGTAACATAAGTTAATATAAAGTACCGATACTTTTTTTATATGTATCGATACTTTTTGTGCAATATGCTTCTCAAAACTACATGCACATAAGAAGTATAGATACCTATAAAAATGTATCGATACATAATGATATAAAAGGTTAAAAATTGATAAAAACCGGTTTCAATATACAATGTAACCGGTCAATATATACCGGTTTAATGGTAATATAATTTTATATAAAGTGTCGATACTTTTTGTCCAATGTGCTTCTCAAAACTACATGCATGTAAGAAGTATCTATACCTATAAAAATGTATCGATACATAGTGATATAAAAGGTTAAAAATTGATAAAAACCAGTTTCTATATCCAATGTAATCGGTCAATAAATACCGGTTTTGAAAAAAATGAAATGTCAACAAAGTATCGATTCCTTTATATAAAGTATCGATAATTTTGTAAGAGTATTCAATATAAATAGCATATCGGGTTACAAAGGAAACCCTAATCTAGAGAAATATATAAAAGACAACCGTAGTTTTCTCTAGAGGGAAGTTAATTATTGTAAATAGTGGTAGCTCATTTTTCGAAGGGTACTTGTTTGTTTGTTGATGCAATCAAATCGAAAGGTATATTATCGAAACCCTAATTTTTTTGAATTTTAGTCTTCAGAAATAGGGGTTAGGTTTTAAAGTTTGTTGTTTTCGAATGGACCTATTATAGGTTGAAAGTTCAATCTTTGTTTGCGACGATGATGACCTTCAAATGGAGCCCCAGCGTATCAACATTGACGAAAATCGAAAGAAACTAGTAAGTATCATTGTATTCATGTAATTGATCTTGAAATGATAATTGGATTAAAGTATTTAAAAACTTTTAATTGATTACAAATTTCAAATCTCTACAGTCTGACTGAATGCCAAAGGATAAAGAAAGCTCATAATCATGTTGACTGCATAGCCAATAAAACCCCCTTGCAGGGTCCAAATGATAAGCTAGGAATTGGTAAGACAAGTTTGATAATTGAGAGTTTAGGGACTGAATCCTTCCAACGTAAGGAGTGCATGATTGAACATTACATATAATAGTTGTATTCAGTTATTAAAGAATTAGTTTTCATTGTATATAAGGATAGTTGTATTAATATCCGGTAAAGTTTTGAGACCAATTAGTTAGATGCATGCAGTACCCTATATCCTCGAGGCAGAGCACAAGAAATCTGGTACTTAAAGATTTACCAAGAGTGGTATCTTCTGCTCTGCATGAAGATTGAACCTAGAATCAACTTTGCAATTATGCCTATACTGCTGAAGAGAACCTATTGAATGATAGGATTTGCACACAACTGCAAGTATTTTATGGGAAATCCTGAGATCTCTATTGCATAATTTTAGCAGAAAATTCTCGCAGTTGTGTGCAAATCCTATAATTCAGCATGTTCTAACATGATAGGAATAATTGTAAACTTGATTCTAGGTTCGGTCTTCATGCAGAGCAAAAGCTACCACTCTTGGTAAATCTTTAAGTGCAAGATTTCTTGATCTCTGCCTTGAGGATATAGGATACTACATGCATCTAATTAATTGGTCCCGAAATGTGAACGGATACCATTACAACTATCCTTATATACAATGAAAAACAATTCTTCAAGAACTGAATGCAACTATTATATGTAATGTTCAATTATGTATTCCTTACGTTGGGGGGATTCAGTCCCTATACCTCAATTATTAAATCTGACTTACCAATTCCTAGCTTACCATTTGGACCCCCGAATTTTATTGGCTATACAGTCAACATGATTAACCTGGATAATCCCAATTACAAAACTGATTCCGGCCATGATTTGCGGGATACTCTATTCTAGAGATTGTTTGGCAAGGTTAAAGTATCGATACTCCAAGTACCGGTTAAAAGTAAGCAATTACTGCATTGACAATCCATTGACGATTTCCTTTGCTTTACATCTTTCAAGTTTATTGTATATGTCTTTATGTGTAAATCCAACATTCTGAAAACCCTTTATGAGCTTTGTATAAGTAATAGTTAAATTTACAAGTTACACGGTAAAATTATATTGGTATAATGATAATATCATAAACTTTTATATATGTATAAATACTTTGTTATATCGGTCTCGATACTTTAATTCCATATGAAGGTTTTTACTTTTAAGTAATATTATATACGGGAGGCTCAAACGCACGTAAAATGTATCGATATATATATATATATATATATATATATATATATATATATATATATATATATATGCTTATAATTTCGAAACCTATTACTTTTAAGTAATAGGTTAATTGACAATGAAAACAGTTAAATTCATTCGGTATCATGAAAATATAAGTAAACAATGTACAAGGTTCTAAGGCTCCATCAACTTTAACCACACACACTCATTATATATATATATATATATATATATATATATATATATATATCCATACTTATAATTTTGAAATCTATTACTTTAAAGTAATAGATTAATTTCCAATGAAAATGGTTAAAGTCAATCGGTATCATTATAATATGCGTAAACAATTACCATGTTGATAAAGCTTGATAACAAATCAAGTGATTAACCAATTATGTTATCGTGGGATTCCTAATGGCTCCATTGGTTTAAATTTTGTTAACATTTATTCCTAAGGTAAGTTTTTATCATAACTGATAACAAATTAAGTAAGTAATTACCTATTTTGTTATCTTTAGATTTCTAAGGCCCCATCAACTTTAATAATGCGCAACCTATTACGTTACATAAGCGCTACCTAATATGTTATTATGCTTGATAATGTTTTCAGTAATTAACCGGTTATGTTATCCTTGGTAACATTTTAGGCGTTAACCTAATATGTTGTAATAACAAATTAAGTAATTAACTTATTTTATTATATAAGCGCTACCTAATATGTTATTGTGCTTGATAATATTAACGGTAATTAACCGGTTATGTTATCCTTGGTAACATTTTAGGCGTTTACCTAAATTAAGTAATTAACCTATTTTATTATATAAGCGCTACCTATTACGTTATTTAAGCGCTACCTAATATGTTATTGTGCTTGATAATATTAACGGTAATTAACCGGTTATGTTATCGTCTATATTTTTTTGGCGTATTTTACACAAGACGATAACATAACCGGTTATTATCTTTTTTATTACCGAGTCAATTAATATTTTCGGTTAAATGATATAATAAATTGATCTAGAATTTAACCGGTCACTTGTTTAACCAATCACATCGTTGTTTAGCCTTTTTTTTAGCCGCCTTACAGCATAACTTCCCCAAACCACATCTTTTAGTTTTAAGAGTCTTTATATATATATATATATATATATATGCTTGTTCTTTATTCTTGATTTTTGCCCAACAACGTGCTTTTATGCCTGCCAGTTCCTCAGAGTCCAAAAGTGAACACGGGGGTCTTTTTGAAGCCCAAACCGATGCCGATAACAGATCTGATGGTCACATTTTGAGACATTTTTTTGATGATTGGCCAAGAAGACTACAGGACCCTGACAACAGTGGAGCAAATGCAAGCCCGCTGAACACCGCGAGCCTGCCAGGGAGTTTGTCATTGGATGTGTCATTGAAGCTGGCAACAGGGAAAGGTGACCAACTAGGTACCTTGGCTGGCGGCAGGGATCATCAGCTGCAGCCACCATTGAACTGGATCATGGATGGATGGGCAACAGCACCGAACCGAGTGGCTTCCATGGGAGGACCTCTCGCGGATGCTTTACGGTCGTCGTCGACGACTAGTACATCACCCACTAGTGTTCTGCATCAGTTAACGAGGGGTTCTACATCTGAAATTAGCTATGTCAGCACTTGGATTTAGTATCTGTTAATGTTATTTTTGCTTTCAACTGTTGTAGACAAAGCCAAACAAATTCCTATGCAAGTTGCTTGCTGTTTTCAGTATTACCAAACATGTATTACCCCTTTCTCCTGCCTTTAAGGGTTTTCCTTATAAATAAGTTTTGAAGCGGTCCGAACAACAATGAAATGAGATACTGTGTTACTCGATTATGTGTTCCAATAAATATATTATGTGTTGAGCTAACCCGACTTGTTAAGATAGTCGTGTTAAGAACAACTAATAAGATCAAGGAAAAGTTATAATCTACCAAGTCAAAGCCCTAACATAAACACATTTAATTTGTTCTCTCGAGGCCCAACTGGTTATAAACAGTATAATCTAAGTTGTGTGGTCTTAGCAAACCAAGTCTCTTAAACTAGTCAAGCTCCGTATTACCCTAACACTGCGGTACAAGGAAGAAACGTCATTGCTAATACTCGACTTTCTTTTCAAGACTCAGGATATCAACAGCCAACTTTTCAGAATCAACCGAGGTTTCGACAGTCAGCACAACAACCTCGTACATGGGAGAATTCTCGAATTTCACCCAAAAAAAATTAATCAATATCATAAAAGAACACTTTCTAATATATCCTCAATCATAGGAAAAAATATTTAATGAAACAGTGAGCGTGCCGGAGTGGTTATCGGGCATGACTAGAAATCATGTGGGCTCTGGCCGCGCAGGTTCGAATCCTGCCGCACACGTTGTTTAAATCTGTCTTTTGTTTACTATCCCATAAAAACGATTGTATTATCTGTTTATTCAATGTACGATTTATCCTTTTTATCTTTTTGTAATAATAATAATAGTATTTTCGATTTCAAAAGCTTGTTGTCCGATCAAGTTAAATTTCAGGCTTGGCTTCTCCCACACCGTTGGAATCTGTAGAAAAGTGTTCCTATTCCCTTGATCTTCAACAACCTAACGACGTTTCTTGATCTGTGGATTCTAGATTCTGGTTGGTTTCAATACATTTTATCATATTTATAACGTCAAATATAAATATTGTCATTATTACATTCTAAATTCCCTAAGTTTCAATACTTCCTTGGGGAAAAGATACTTACAATGATTAATACTATATTTTTTATTGGCTTCTTATCCAATAATACCATTTTTTTAATAATATTTCCTATTAGGTACCGATTCCCAAATTTTATCGAACTATCACTTTTTCTGACAGAGAGAGAATATGGCGTGTTTCACGAAACGCGTTTCGCACACGTAGAGAGAAGACGCATTACTGGGTCGTGTTTTCCATGGGTTTTGCTGAGCTGGCGCCACGGTGGGAAGGCACATTCCCGACGATGTTCCTTCGTCGAATTCTGTTGCCAGATGAGAAGGCGCGTTGCAGGGTTCGAGCCTTCCATTTAATTTCAAAATGCCACCCAAAAATCCTGTCCACTATAAATACGCCCTCTTCCAACTCTCAATTCACACCTAAAATCTTATTACTCTCTCATTCTTACTACTAAATTTAGCTTTAAGCAGGTTTTGTCGGAGTTTCTAAAAGGTGAAAATCTTTTTTTTTTTTTATAATATGTTATTGCACTAATTAATTTTTATTACATTTTGCAGTTGTAAAATGGAAGGCGGGATGTCTCGATTGGATGCAAATCATATCTCGAGTCATATTGCCGATACAATAACAATATTAAATTGTGCTATTTGAATTATTATGAATATTTTATTAATTTATTTTTTTAGTATTAATTTATATTTTAATTCATATACTATTTATTAATTAGGGGAATGATCATATATTAGAATCATTTATTCATAATGATAAGATAGACATATCGCGTCCTATCTGGCTGTATTTAGCTGATGATGGATTTGGTTACGTAGTGAAATATGAAGGAGGCTGTAAACTTGAACCCACCCTTATTTTTACATTAATTGAGAGGTGGAAACCAGAGACACACATATTACATCTACCGTGTGGGGAGGGCACTATTACGTTGAAGGATGTTTCCATGCATTTAGGTCGTTGATGAAGATGTTATTTGTGGTGGGGTAGATGGTGATTGACATTCGTTATGCAAGGGCTATCTTGGAGGTGTCCCGCTTGGGTTCAACGGTGGTTAAGTATCGTTACCATGGCTACAAACAAATTTTCAACAATTGAGTGAAAATTGTTCCAAGGATGAAGCTAAAGCATTTGCTCGGGCATACATATTACGACTCATAGGAGGGATCTTGATGCCCGAAAAATCTCACAACTAGGTTCATTGTATGTATGGTTACGTCACCTTAGGGGCTGTTTGTTTACTTCAGAATGATTAAGCGCTGAAAGATTCAAATGATGAATCATTCAGAGGCTCTGAATGTGACATGCTATTTGATAACTGGCTCTGAATGATTCAGAATGTACTTCTGTGCTGAATCATTCAACACTGTTTTGCTGAATCAATCAGCACTGAATCATTCAGAGGTGTGAAACAAATGCGCTGAATGCTGAACGGTTCAACATTCAGTGCAGAATGGTTCCATTAAGAGGTAAACAAACAGCCCTTTACTGATTTTTGAGTAGCCGACACATTGAGTTGGGGTTCCTCAGTTTTGGCCTTTATTTATAGAGAAATATGTCAGGCAACAGATTAACGAAAAACTACTATTAGCGGACGTCTCATTCTTCTCTAGTTATGGGCATGGTATCACATGTCCTTTTTATGTTCGATCGTGAATGAACCGTTTGTCTTCCAGTTACTGTTAAGGCAATTTCAATACTGAATTCGTATATAAATAATTTTTTGAGTATATAATGAAATATTTTTTTACATTGAATAGGTGGTCATCAACAAGGAAAAATCATCGTGCTATACCAGATGAATTGAAAATTTGCTTACTTATTGATCAAAAGGCTGCTACAGAGGTACATATTTAAATTTTAACATTTACCTTTAATTATCGTTATATAATTAGAATATTGTTTTGATAGGAAACATATATATTTTTGTTTTATTTCCAATGGGCTCCTTATTGGATTGATGAAATAAGGCTTTGCATCACACCTCATTTGAATGGGCTATTAGATGTTTAGATGGTTGTTGTACCTCTTATATGTTATGCAATTATCGAGTGGTATCCGATTAATAGTGGGCTTCATCAATTTGGTTACGTACAATATATTCCTGTAGCATCTAGAAATCTCGACAATATGCATAACAATGATCGACGAGGCAAAAAATATGTTAATTGGGTGATGAAGTACAACGAGTGGATAATGATGTGGGAGGATCGACAACAACGCATTCTCCTTCGGGAGTACATGCATGAAACTCATTATTCGGTTACAGATAACTATTTTTCATGGTTCAACATGAATGAGAAGTCGTTTCTACTTTCTGAAGAAACACGAAGTGGGATAATTCATCAGTGTCGAGAAAGGTGTCCACCATCACAACATCATCATCCCTGACTCATGGACGAAGAGCATGCATTTTCGGCTCGTCCTTAGCTGCAACACTGAAACCATCACATCAGTCACCATCACCACCAATTTGCATTCTTAACCCGCCACTATACATGGCTACACCACTAGTTTAGAAGCCACCACTGCATGGTTACGTACAGACGCCGCAGGGTTTTATAATACCTCTTGGTGGATATTATACTCTCATGCTTATAGATCCAGCGCGGGCTTCATATGTTGCTTATTTGGCGGGTGGTGCTCCACCATAGACACCTCCACATCAATATAGATCGCAGACATCGATGTTGGTGTTTTCATAGGTTTCGTAGTTTTCTATGAGCGATGGAATGATTTGTCATACTCCTCCAAAGTCCTTATTCTATACAGGTCCTACATCATCATCCGTACCTTATCAATAAAATGTATATGTTGTCATTGATGCTGTTGATGATTATGATGAGAGTCAAGAGGAGGAGCAACTTATAAAAAGAAACCCTCATCGAAATAGACAACCCACCCTGTGGTACATATTCAAGAAGGAGACATTGATAGACTTGTTTACTTTGTAATGTTTTTACTTAATGTTTATTAGTTTATCATTAAATGAAATAAATTATTTTATTTATATTTTGTTTCTGTAATGTTTTTATTATTTAATTGTTTTAATTGCAATGTTTCTATTCTATTTATGTTTATGTTAAGGAAAAAGACAAATCTCAATAATTCTAGAAGGCATCCTGAGGGCCTATAAATTTGTGTGAACTCAAGCTATTTGATTCTTACTTGAAGCAAAAAATATCTACAAAATATTTCAGTGTTTCAAAGGAAAAACTTAAGTTTTTTTTGCTAAGATGCCTACTATTCTTGCAAAGATGCATACTATTCTTGCAATTGTTTTTTATGATTTCAAATCTCTGGGCATATCTTTCAAAAAAAATTATACTAGAGGAGTTGAAGTTTAAAATAGAAAGAAAAATTCAACTCGGAAGAAAAAGAATAATATATTCTTTATATTTTAAACTTCCACTATCATCCAGGAGGTTTCCTCTAAGCGATATGTCGAATTTTCTAGTATGATTGAGACATATTATTCTCATTATGTATCTCATGTGGATTTGTTTGTAGAGTTTGATGATGTTGAGGATGCTACTTCCAGTTCAAATATCCAACAAACTAAGAAAAATGAGATTGGGTAAACAGAGATAGATGATGAAGACCCAGAAGCATGGTTCCAACATAATTGGGATTGAAACATCAATAAGAAAAGTTTTATGTCTCTATTTATGATTTTATCATTAATGTAATGTTTATTTTAACTTGTTTTGACATCATTAATGTCATGTTAAATGGTTTTTTGTTTAATGTAATGTTTATGTTTCATTGTTTTTTTAATTAAAAATCTATTACAATATCATATTGAATTTAATTAGTCCTACTAAAAACAAAATTCATTACAATATTGCTTTCACGGTTCCAGAAATAGTATAAGCAACCTTTAAACATGTCAATACATGAACAATATGTTTGTGGAATCTTTTCGATGTATGAAACTGAAATTGT